AAAAAATACTTTCAAATGTTTATCTTATGAAAAAATGTTTTATAACCAAATATTCGAGTAGTACAGCTCTACGAATGAACAGAGCTTGTTGCCATATTTAGCCTGCCCGGCAATTAGCCAATTATATTTGGTTTGCAACAGTCCTCAAAAATGTATGTACAGTATTATTTAGAATTACATAGAATTAGTTTTGAATTATTAAAAATTAAATATTTTAATATATCAACAATGTTCCAGAAAAACTGATCCTATAAACCAGGATATCAAAGAGTGATTATAGCGCCACCTGCAGGGCTTACAGAACATTTACATAACTTGTGTACCCACACACACATATTGTAATAATTGAGGTATAGAATTTGTTTTTTTACTATAACTGTTAATGGTTTGGTTAATAGAGAAAACTGACAGCAGACCTGGGGTAGTGTCTGGACAGTACTGCATAAGGTAGTAAATAATACTCTGGTGTCAAAAGTCTTTTAGGATTTATGTCCGAAAACAGTCAGAGTCCGAAGTGTCTTTGCTCACAAAATGTCCGTGGCTTAGTGTGTCAAGCACTTCCTTCTACAGGGAGCTGCCCTTTGACCCCTGACTGATACTAAAGCTGAATAACTCACACCGTGAAGGGCTTTACAACTTACACTCAAATACAAGCAGCTCCAGTTGGAGGAGAGGAGTTGTCTGACCGACCCATATGGAACAGAGCTGCGTTACCTTAGTTTGTTATAAATGGTTTGGGTTTTTTTTTTGTCATATTGAAAATACCGTACTGACTTTGAAATACGATGGGTTTTGTGTTTGCATGTGTGTGTGTGTGTGTGTGTATAATTTCCTTCCCCAGGTTCTGTGTGACGTGGACAAATTGCCACGGTGGGAGAAGTCGTGGATCATTTGACCGGTCGCGGTTTGTGTGTAGTGAAATATAATCTTTCATGCCGTTATCCCAGGAATATGAGATATAAGTAGAAAAAAAGAAACTCCACCCTTCAAAATTTTACTGATGGTGGAGGCAGAGTAGCCGGTGACCCACGGTGACCCCTGAAATACCAGACATGGGCTCAAGTGTAAACAAAGGTCTGACGTTCATTCACAGTTGTGACAGCACAGCAAGGACACTTTATTTTAAGGTGTAGTGGAAATATATGTCCCTGTGCCTGTGCCTGTGTGTGTGTGTGTGTGTGTGTGTGTGTGTGAGATTCCATTTTTATGTTTGTTGGTTCGTCTAAACAGAAACAGACCTTAGTTCTGACCAAGCACATCTCCCTGAGATGTTATACTTAAAACAGGGAAAATTAAAACTTAAAATTTAAACAGTCACTCTGAATATATATATAAAAATATTTTTATTGTGTCCATGAAATAGATCTTAGTTTTGTCATTTACTAGAATAATATAAATTATAAATAATTATAACAACACAACAGTAGGATTGTCTACAGCAAATAAAACCAACATTGTGTTTTTTTTTTAGTATAAACAAACTGGTTGTTCATTAATTTCTTCTTTTCTTCATAGAGATTTCATCTCCCATAGGTTTAACACAGGTTTTTTTAAATGGCTAAAACGTCTTTTTCCCTCCATTAAAACCTGCAGCATTCGCATCAATATCGACAGATTCACATCACATTTTTCCTCACAGTAAAACCACAGCCTTATTTTGGCACTGATAAAAGACAAGCGGCTGAGCTGGCGGTGGCTGAGCAGAAGATGATGACATTTTCATTAGGACGGCCGAGAGGGATTGGATTGGAAGTGAACACATCTGGGAGACGGCTTCACAGATCTCAGTAGAACACGGAGGAGAGTGAAGTCTAAATTAGTCACAAAGGTTTGACTTTTTTTTTTAAAAAGCAGCAAACTGAAACGGTAAAACTAAAAGTTATAAGACAGATATAGTAATTTCCAACTGCATCTAATTAACTAACTAACTAACTAACTAACTAACTAACTAACTAATAACAGCCACATTGATCATCTTTGGCGATCGTTAACTTCTTCACTTTATCTAGGTGATAGTGGCAGAGAACGGCAGATGAGCAGCTGTGTGAAGGTGGAGGTCAATCAGATCAGACTCAAAACAGGTGTGGAGGTGAAGGCTGGTGATGAGGACCTGAAGTGTTAGGACCTGAATGGATTATAGAGGTGAAGGCTGGTGATGAGGAGCCGTCCATGATTCACTCACACACACTGAAGTGTTAGGACCTGAATGGATTATTTACAGAGCGTAGCTTTATACCTGTCATATATAAATATTTATTTTCAATTTGTCTTGTAATTTTTTGACCAACAGTTTTATTTGGTACTTTTGTGTTAACAGGACAAATGAGGACAGAAGATTCAAACAGCTGTGTAGGTGAGTAGAGCTAAACCGCTAATTAGCTTACGGTGTAATTCATAACGTCGTCAAACATTAGCCTGACGACATTAGGAACACGATCCTTAGTTTTGGGTCTTTTTTCTAAGTTGTATCTGGTACTTTTGTGTTAATAGGACAAACGAGGACCTCTCCATCACAGAAGATTCAAACGGCTGTGTAGGTGAGTAGAGCTAAACCGCTAATTAGCCTACGGTGTAATTTGTAACATTAGCCTGACCTTATTAGGAAGACAGTCCTTATTTTCAGCTCTTTTTCTCTGAGCAGCTCAGTTCATTTTGTCCATTATTATTGGATAAAGAGAAAACCTGAAAATAAAGTATGACATCAGACGGAACACACACTGTACTGCTTAGACAGCGAGGACGTAGGCAACACTTTCTGAAGTTACCTGCAGCCAGGCTCCTACTGTGTGGTCGTGTCACACTTTATTATCTACTTTCCTGTAAATTGAATCATAAGTTACTCAACCTGACATCTGGTCTGTTGTAAAGACCTGAACCAGCGCCTGAAACCATGAACTCTCTTCTGCTCTTTTCTTGGCCTTCACCATGGAAACATGAAATGTTTCAATATAGCTGGACGCCCCCCCCCCTCTAGAAAATCAACAGGCGGAGTGTAATTAACTAATCAACTCATTTTTTTACATCTGATCGTTTATTTCTCCTGGCTGCCATGTTTGTTTTGTAGCCATTTTCTAAGATCGTACTCCTTTGCCTCGTATGAACATGAGGTTTTGTCATTTTTGCCAAGTACCGACTGTAAAGAGACTGTGTTTTTTATTTAATGAGCGCCTCGTTAAAAAGTGGGTTCTCCTGCAGCGGTGATGGAGGAAAGAAGCCTGAATGCCGTCACAGGGAATCACCGCGCTCTTTATTATTTTTCTGCGCACCAACGCCGTGTCTTTAGCCCATGTGTGCAGACAAACATGGAACAAGCCGGCGGCTGTTCACATTAACCTGCAGAGTCCTGCTGAGAGGGGGCAGAAAACGACCAGAGTCTTTGGGGGGCGCATATAGCCAGACATTAAAAAAAAAAGATGGTTTCCCTTTAACGCCTTGGGCTTCTCCAGCTTCCTACAACAACAGCTTCTGCTTCTGCTCCGGGTCGTAGTCTCAGATTGATAAAACATCACTTCACCACAAACTACCCCTGCACACGACGGGAGCGTAAACAGAGCCGCACTTATCGCTCTTCGTGCCACTTCGTTACGTTTTTCCTCCAAATCTCAGATTGATGGTAACAGCGGGGGCACAGCTTACACTGTTCCAACCAAAACATTAGCCTGACAGTGTGTGTTATTATGACAGCTGTTGTGTGTGCCCGGTGAAATTACACCACCAGTGTAGAGAGGCTCAGATATAATATTTATTCTAATTCAGCCCAGGTGTGCTGAGTGGCTGACGAGTCCGCAGGAAGTGACGAGCCTCTGACGTCAGGTGTTTGCCTCTGTTTCTGTGGATCAAAGGATCAAATAGGTCGACAATTTTTTATACGCCATTAGTGAACATGACTGTGGCTCAGGAAGCAGCAGGACACTTAGAGCACTGTTTCCCAAAGACTGGGTCGCGACCCTCAGGTGGGTCGCAAGTGATTTTTTTGGGGGTCGTCGCAACAATTAATTAATTAATTAATTAATAGTTCGGATATCACTCGGTCAACAATAAAATACCTTTATAGTACACCTTTATTTTGTGATTTATGAATAATGTTTATAGACTTGGGTCACGAAGGTTTGTGCATTTTAAAATATGGCTCCCCAGAAAAAAAAAAGTTTAGGAAACACTGATGTAGCAGATAAATAAAATATGATTTACAGTATATTTACGCAGCTATCAATAAAGAAAAAAAATAAACCCCAAAGTAGGGCCTTGACACTGGTCCTTTCTACAACAAGGGGGCGCTAAAAGAAAGTTTGGGAACCACTAAATCCGTTCTCATATTTTGTGGTTCTTATGTTATAAGTAGAAAAATGTATCGTTTAATTAAATCACTCATCATTGAAATGTATTCACCGCAAATATATCTGTAATTATGTTTAAGAAAAAGGAGAGAAATTAGAGGTCAAGTGGTTTAACCTTGGCTCGGGGGACCAACAATAGCAGGGTCCACGAGCTCATTCATAACGAGGCAAATAACCACCGTTAGCGAAGCAGGTTTAGGTCATCCCTCCTTAGACATGAAAGGACTAAACCACCTCTGACCATCCGTCCGTCCGTCTTTGAACCGTACGCAATGAAACAATCGGTCGCTGATTTACGGGCCCAGCGCCCTGGGGCCGTGTTCCTGCGGTGGGCGGCGTGGAAATAGGTCATTTGTCCTGTGGAAGGGACTGCATTATAGATGAAGCCCAACTGCATATCTACTGCTCCGCCCCAAGGAGGCAGCAGCATAAGGTGGGCTGGCCGAGGAGTACAGATGTAACGTGAGAGAAAAATCACTACATTTCTGTTTTTTTTTTTTTTTTTTTTTTTTTTTACACAACCGGCAACCCTCAGCACACAGGTCTGAGGGTTTCAACAATCTTTATTTAACATTAGCTTTTTAATATCACTTTTCAACCGTATGGTTAGTTCCACAGTAAAGTTGTATGGACGTCTGAATCTCCTCTGTCTCCATGGACAAAAGTGGACGGACTCTATTTGGACTAGAAGGGAGGAAAGCTGTCACTGTCACCTCTGCCGTGTCAGACACAGTTGTCTGAACCTGAGGTTGGGTCGTAAATCTTTTCTCATGGGGCCGGCCTTGACATTCTGTTCCCAGATGGTGGCTCCCCTGCTGTGGACTCTGTTTCCAAAGGGCTCTGGCATCTCAACAAGAGCCATCCATCACACAGGAACTAGGCCTCTAATAATGGAGCTGCTGGAGGATTCTGTGGACGAACACCTGCCTTCTTCTTTTTTGTTTTTTGTTTTTTTTCACCTTGTGGCTAAAACAGCGCCCGGTCCCCTTGAGCACACTTCATCCCCTGCAGCTCTCCTGGGAGGTCAGAGGTCATCTGAGGGTGTGAGACGGCTTCGCACGTCCAGAGACACTTTTGTTGAGGTGACATTCACACATTCAAGTCTGTGGCCCAGTCTGTTGTAGCCTCGTATTACAGACGGGTTAGAGGTGGGAGTGTTATTAATGTAACAGGAGCCCCCGCCTCAACAGGAGACAATGACAAAACGATGGTGAAACCCCCCCCCCCCCCGAAAAAACAAAGTTTTCTCAGTTTGAAAAATTGATGAATTTGCCACATAACGAAAGGCGTCTGAGCAAAGACTAATTACCCCGAGAAGAACAAAGAAGGCGACTTCTTAATCCACACAGAGTTTATACAAAAGAATCATACTCCTCCATCTGTTTTGTATATTGTGGTCAGAAAACATCACTGATGTGAATGAAGCCAAATGTGATGCTTGAGGCTCCTTCATACATCCAGAGCCTGTTTGACCCTCCTTCACAACAAAGCCCCTTCTCCTCACTCTTCCTATCCATATGTCTGAAACCCCTGATTGTGTGTGTGTGTGTGTGTGTGCTGGAATGAGAGTTTCACATCCTGACTCTGCTCAGCCGGGCCCGCTCTGTGGAAGAATCCGATGACTGATTTGTGTGTTCCATCGTTTAACGAAGCTGTCGTTACTCGCGGTGACGCTGCTGCCAGGCACACGGAGGCAGGAGGACGATCGACAAGCCAGCTCAGAAACTCTAAACTCCACGTCCTGCCCTGCAGCGTCACTTCAAACCCTTCTTTTGTCGGGTCTCGGACGAGCCCACATCATGTCTGTATTAATTTCCATGAAAACAGGCACCGCCATGCACTCTGGCGTACGTCGTCCCACACAGTTGTCAAACATCTGAAAAGCATAGAAAGGATGTTACACGTGGTTTTGATAAAAACAGTGGTAAACTATGGTCACGGAGTAGTTTACTTGTTCCCGTTCTGCATTGTTATCTCTCTGTTAAGATTAGAAATGTCTGTGGGGTAACATCTGCACTGTAATTAAGGGCTAAAATTGGTGCCTATTATTAATAAATCCTGATGATTACCTCCCCTCTCTTCTGTGGCCACATGTGCCAACCTTCATTTAGTAAAAAAAAAAAAATGAAAGAGAAAAAAAAACACACACTTGGACCGATGCCAGCTTGCCAACGAAGCACAAAGCACGCTCTCTGCGTGACAACGTTGATGTAATCTTTCACCAACACACAGTAAACGAACTCAAAAACATATGGAGAAAAAAAAAAAAAAAAACAAAGTCAAAGGGCCTGCTGATGATTTCTCTTCCTGCTATGTTCCACATATGCAAACACACAGTTTAGGTCGTCCTCAAACTACAGCTCGGTGCAAATACACACTCATCGGCCACGTTATCAGGCTCTCCTGTTCGACCGCCCGTTAATGCATCAGCTCTAGTGTAAACTATTAAAAACACAGTGATGAAGGGTCCAAAAAGTTCATCAGAAAGGAGAGGAGAAATTGGATTAAATCCACTCGACTGTGTACGTGGGATATGTCTGACAGTCTGACCTGAGAATGTCCCAGAATCTACTGGAAGTTGCTTTTAAACTTGTCTTGGCCTTACAGGAAATTGTAGAAAAAATGAAAACGTCCATTTGGTTACAATTCATCGGAAAAAAAAACACTCAGAGAAAAACAACCCTCCTGATTTGAGATGACGGGAAGGCAAGAGCAACGCAGGGTTTGCAGAAGGTCATCTCTGCAGGCAACAGATTTAAGCTCTTGTCCTTAAATATTTAGGTTCCATTCATCAACACTGGACGCACTTCCTGTCAACTAAGAACAGGAAACGTAGTCTGCAACTTCCTCTAGTTCACCACGAGAACTGTGGAGTTAAACCTGTTCACCTGGTAACAGCGTTCCAGGCCGGCGTTAGTGGTGTGATAGTTGAGGATAGTTTCTTGGCCATTCGTTTGTCCAGTTGCGTTCCAGGCCGACGTTAGTGGTGTGATAGTTGAGTTTCTTGGCCATTCGTTTGTCCAGTTCTGACAAATGAGGTGTCGTTTCTCTGATGTGTCCTTTGGTTTCTGTCTCAACTTTTTATTTCCTTCCCTATGAAGTTGGTATTTTAAGCTGAAGATTCTTTGGTGAAATAACAGTTTGTGTAAATAACGTGTTTTTAAATATGATTATTTTACAAATCAACCGTAGAGCCAGGAGAAAACCCCAATGACAGAGGATCAGTTACCAATGGGTATCAGATCTACTTACTGTAAGGCAGGACCACTAACCGTTCTCTTACTGTGTGGCCCAGGCTGACGTCACGTCACACCTATCCAAGATAGAACTCTCGATGTGAGCCTGCTGCTGTTGTTGTTGTGATAGGTTCAAATGCCTGTTTTAGTTTAAAGGAAGATGCAAAAGTTAACAAATGTTTTCCAAGTTCAATCAGCCACACAAAGAGCCGGTCCGCACAACACGGTCCAAAATCACATGGACCCTGATTGAAATGATTGAAATCAGGAAACCAATCAATGGATAAATAAACATGATTATGAACAGAAACCGATGTGAGTGTTCGGTGCCTGACAGTTTAACATTTTGCGCTATAGGGTTTTCGATTGTTACCAGAAATGCATTGAGGCTCAGTGGCTGCTCCTTTGAAGATGCAAAGCCAGTGGAATAACCTGATCATGCTGTTTTCATTTTCCATTCTGTGTTCAGTCAATAATCTGAACCATCTTTCATGTCATGGGACTTCAGAGGAGCTGTTGTAGCCTAACTTGCAACAGGTAGAAGCTGTAATCAAGCTCTCATGCTGCAAATATGCAGCGGAGTCACAGTTTCTTTCTTTTCTTTTCTTTTCTTTCTTTCTTTCTTTTATTCTTTTCTTTTCTTTCTTTCTTTCTTTTTCTCTCTTTCCCATCTCAACGATACAACTTTTCAGACGCCACTTCATAGTACATTTGTCTCCTCAGAATGTGAATTTGGTTGAGTATGAAATCCAAGAGAGGATGAGAGAACAGCTGTTCTTTATTTGTCACTACGCCTCTTCCTCCGAGTGACTATTAGATGGTAATCTCTTCTTTTTTGGTGTGAAGGTAAAGACACTTCAGGGAGGGGGGAACATGGTGAGCTCACCTTGAAATTGTGATTCAAAAGGTAAAAGTAAGTGATACCAGAACAGAGGAAAAAACAAAATCAAACATCAGCTCATTATTAATAGGGAAAAAAATCAAACATCAGCTCATTATTAATAGACTGCTTCATACAGGCTTCAAAAACTAAGTCAGTAAATGACAAGACATTTATCATTCTGTTTATTATCCTTCCTGATATCACATCTGATAAATACTTTTAACTTCTCACTTTCCTCGACTCACATCCTGCCTGAAGTCAGCATGTTTTTTTTTTGTTTTGTTTTTTTACTATAAACCCTCTGAGATTTGACTGAAGTTCTGTGTTTCTTTATTGTTCTTGTAGGAGCCAAAATTCTTAGGTGTTCAGGTCACTGTTCTGGAAGCCAAAAGTCTCTGCAGCTTCCTCTGAAAGTAAACATCGAAGGGAGAAAACAAGCTGGATAAGGTGTAATGTGAAGATCCATATGTAAACAGGTGAGGTTTTGGTTTATTTGACGGCTGCTCTACACATGGTAAACAACCATGTGTAGAGCAGCCTTCTGTCTCTGTTTATACACAGTATATATTTGAAAGTATTGTTGCACACAAATAGAATCTTCAAAGTATTATGAGCAGCTATTTGGGAACAGCTATTCACTTGTAAAGTATTTAAATTAACACAGTGGTGGAAAAATAAAAAAATATAAAAAGTCCAAACCATTAGTTTTATTATAAGATATGACATTACCAAAAAAGACATATTTATATTTTCAATATTATTTTAACATTATTACAACACGGTTTCCCCTCATTAATACATGTAAGGTTTGTATCAAACCAAAGTGTCATTAGTAAACTAGGCTGAAAGTACATTATCATCCATAAGGGGGAGCAAAAAACATTGAAAAACATTTCTTTCAATAATTCTGTGTGTTTGATTAAGTCAGGACCATAAAACCATGTTACTGAGATACGATGATAAATGAAGTGTGGAACATTATTGTTTCAGCCTAAAAGCTGCTGATGTTTTTATTTATTTTATGTTGAATTTGAGTTCGAGCTACACTGTGCAGCGCTAATTAAAAAAAAAAGCTCCATTAAATCGTACTTTCAAACACGTGCAACATGCAGTGAGGGGTTGTTACTTTAGTCTGATGCTCCCAACCCCGGTCTCTGAGACCACTGGGGATGCAGTAGGGGTCCTCATTGTGAGAGAGGACAGTGACAGGGTAGAAGCTGGTGTCATCGCTGAAGGAGTTAATCCTCTGCTCCTGGTTAAGGGTGAATATGCATATTTGCAGCGAGAATTCTTCCTGCTCAGACTTGGCACTCGTCTCAGGTTCTCTGGTGGTTCCGTCCTGATGCCGCTCCGAGCCACACCCATTATTAAAGCCGGTGGGTACATGAGACAGCTCGACTCTGCCGCCAAGTCTTCACGGCCTCCTTCCAGCTCCTCATCTTGGAGCATCTCGAGGTCTGTAAACGAATGGGCTAACGTCTGGAAACGTGGGTCCCAGTCCAATAAATGGTGCCAGTCGCAGCTGCCCTGCTCCACTGGACACAACAGTGAGGAGTCAGGATCAGCGAAGACACAGACTTCACAGGTGCAGGGGTAACATTTGGTAGCCATGCTTGCCTCCTCAAAATCTCTCAGAGTTGCAGGGAGCAGCTCCTCGCCTCCTCCCTCCTCTTTAAACGTGTGGAGACTCTCTGTGCTGGCCATCACTGCAACAAAACATTTAGTACCTGATAAAATATGTTCTGCATCTGATTCCCCTGAGCTGCAGAGGTCAGCAGGTGAGGCTGAATCTGAGACCTTCGCGCTTCGGTTGGCTTTTACAGATGTGTCTACTTGACTGTAGGGGTGGTGGGTGACCAGTTTGTGACTGTTTGACTGGTCTTCAGCTGTTTGACCCTCAGCGGATCCACGGACACTTGAGTCTATGCGCTTGAAAGTCTTTGTCTTGTCTCTCTTCGTCATCACGGTGCTGGGCCGTTTGATCTCCTGTAGAGATACGACACTTCCCATTCGACTGTTGGTCCTTCTCAGTGACTCTGCTGTGGCAGTGGCAGTCGACTTCTCCACTGCAGAGTCTTTAATCTTGTAATTTAGAACCATGACCACCAGGATAACAAGAGCAACGAGGAAGGTAATCAGACTGCCTGGTCTTCAGCTGTTTGACCCTCAGCGTGACTGTTTGACTGGTCTTCAGCTGTTTGACCCTCAGCGGATCCACGGACACTTGAGTCTATGCGCTTGAAAGTCTTTGTCTTGTCTCTCTTCGTCATCACGGTGCTGGGCCGTTTGATCTCCTGTAGAGATACGACACTTCCCATTCGACTGTTGGTCCTTCTCAGTGACTCTGCTGTGGCAGTGGCAGTCGACTTCCCCACTGCAGAGTCTTTAATCTTGTAATTTAGAACCATGACCACCAGGATAACAAGAGCAACGAGGAAGGTAATCAGCGAGACGGTCAGACTGAGCATACGTCGGTCCAGTGGAACAGCCGTGAGCGCTTCAGCAGAGCTGGAGATGTTGACAAACACCGAGCAGGTGGAAGACTTGGAGCCCAGTCTGGGACTAGCTGCAGACACGAGCAGCTCCACCGTGTCCCGACCTCCACGGCCTCTTTGCCGGAACACAGGCCCCGATACAAAGATGGCACCGAACGTTTTGTTAATAGAGAAAAAAGGCGGTGAGTCCACCAAGGAGTACTCCACGATCCCATCCACACCACCATCATGATCCATGGCCATCACGTAACCAACCGTCTCCCCCAGCTGCACGTTCGCCGGCAGCGTGTAGTGGTACTGTTTCTGGGTGAAGACTGGACTGAATTCGTCCACTCCCTTGATGCTCACCTGAACCTTCACCGTCACGGCTCTGTGGCCTTTGTCTCTGGCCTCCACTATGAGGCAGTACTCGCTCTCCCGTTCGAAATCAAACGTTTGTCTGGTGTGAATGTGTCCTGTAAAAGAGTCGATGCCAAAAGCGTCCTTTCTGTCTGGACTGCCACTGCCGTAGTCCATGAGGCAGGAAGATAAGATGGAGTAGGTGAGCTGGCCATATCGGCCCAGGTCGTTGTCCACAGCGTGGACTGAACATGTGTGGGTGAAAACGGGCAGATTCTCTGACACCGAGCAGTTGACTGTGGGGAACATGAAGTATGGAGAGTTGTCATTTTCATCCAACACGGTGATGTGGACCACTGTAAACGCGATGTTATGGTCTTCAGATAATTCTCCACCGTCAGAGGCTCTAATAGTCAGGGTGTATTTAGAGTCCTCCTCATAATCGAGAGCGTGATTGACAACCAGACGACCTGACTGAGGGTCAAGCTTAAGGTGACCTTTGGTGTTCCCTGATATGATGTCATACCGCAACAGGGCGTTAGTTCCCTTGTCCAGATCCCGTGCTGTGACCTGGACCACCGTGGTACCTACTGGACTGTTTTCACTCACGTCTGCGTAGTACTGTGAACTGGAGAAGACCGGAGCGTTGTCATTACAGTCCGTCACGTTCACTACAACGACCGCAGAGCTATTTAGTGGAGGACTTCCACGGTCAGACACCATGACTGTCAGCACATAGCTGTCTCTGACCTCACGGTCTAAGGGCTGACACAGAACGAGTTTTGCCACATTCTTTATCTGATTCTCCAACTGAATCATTTTCACTTCCAGACAGAATCTTTTCTCCTCATTCCCTCCCAGGATGGCGTAGTCCAGGTGTGTGTTTTCAGAGCTCCAGTCTTGGTCATCTGCGGACAGAGACAGCAGCGTGGTGTCTGTGGCCGTGTCCTCGGCCACGCCGAGAGCGTAGAGGTTCTGGTAAAACAGCGGCGCGTGATCGTTGTCGTCCTGAATCTGTATTTCTATGGAGGTAACGGTGGAGTGCACGGGGTCGCCTCCATCTCTCGCTTCTACCAGAAGATGGATGAGGTGGCTCTTTGTGTCGGCCTCCAGAGGTTTGTTGGTGAAAACCGACCCTAAAAAACAAATAATCAGGTCACAGTGCTGCCCGTGGCAAAATGTGGCAGTTGGATTTGCCTGATGTTTGCTTTAGAAATAGCAGACAAACAGGAATCTGTTCACGGGGAAGAAGAAGAAAATGGCCAAAAGTGAAGAAATCTGCTTTAACTTTTCTGTGTTTCTTGGCTTCAGATAGATAATAGAAAAGACATGACATCATCAATGCACATCATTTCAGACTTCAACATGCAAATCCATGGAGACTTAGACTACAGCGCAGCAGAATATAAACTCTCAGTAACCTATAACTTGGACGCAGCGCTGCACATTAGAAAGCAGAAAGCAGTTCCTTTGTGGCCCATTTCTTTGGCAATTCTCGGTTTAACTTTGTTAGAAACGGAGAGACTCAGATCAATGAATATGAAAATCAGACCACCAGAGAGTTATGAGTCATAAAACCTTCAGGGATGGAAGTAATATCACCAACAGAAGAGCCTGCCTCTGGTTACAGCACTTCTCCACAGCTTTTGTCTACAGTATATTCTCTATATTGATCTTCTTACCATTGTCTGGCTGAATATAAAAGCCTTGTGATGGGGATTGGATCAGTCTGTAGCTGATCTTTCCATTAATTCCAGAGTCTCTGTCGGTGGAGAACACTGACACCACCAACGTGTCAGCTGGGACGGATTCAGACAATTTCACCTGAAAAAAAAAACAAAAAACGAGGGAACATTAGTCAAACCTGCAACAGGACCAGGATATAATTTTTTTTTAAGGAACTTGCTACTTTTCTAATATCTAGTAAATAATGAAACCATCAAATGACTTACTTCTAATTATATCTATATATATATATATAATTATATATTTTATATATATATTTTTTTAAGTATATCCTCCTAACCTGGTAGGAGACCCTGCTGAAGACTGGGGCGTTGTCATTGATGTCAAGCACTTGAACTGTGACCTCCCCAGAGGTCAGATGGAGGGAGTCAAAAGCCCAAACTGTCAGGGTGAACTCCTTCTGCTCCTCGTAGTCCAGGGCCTGCGTCAGCGTCACCACACCAGTATAGTGGTCGATGGCAAAGGGGCCTTCGACGCTGCTGTTGTCGGCAAAGCTGTAGGTGATGTATGAGCTCAGATCCACGTCGTTAGCCTTCACCTGGGTGACACTGTAGCCTGCAGGCAGATCTAAGCAGAAATGAACAACACATGAAGAACACACATGGACTAAGACTGTAAAATACATGACAGTGAGAGCTTACTTTCTGCTACGACCACAGGCTCCATTGGAGGAATGGTGGGGCTGTTGTCGTTGACGTCTACCACCTGCACCCTGATGGTGGTGCTGCTGCTGAGTGGAGGGTTCCCCCTGTCTGTTGCTTGTATTACAAGCCTGAAAAAAAGGAAGATAATAATTTAAAAAAAAAGAAGGAAAGTAATACAAGACTGGACCTAATTATAAAGTGAAATTTGAGATCACACCTAAATTAATGCAAAGCACGGGTTAAAAAAGACACACAAAAGATACTGTATGTACAAACACACAAAAACACACACACACATCTAAATAATAGCCACAAGCCTCTCTTATGAAGAACAGATGGTCAGTATGTTTAGTTGTTATGAAACAGTGCAGAATAGATTCATGGATGTTGTTCAGTCCAGAGAAACTGTTGTTTACAGTCTGAAATGTTTTTCTTTACTTAGATCAACCTATTAAACTCATGCATTTAAAAGACTACACCAGCAGATATGGATGGATGGATGGATGGATGGATGGATAGATGGATGGATGGGTGGATGGATAGATTATTTCAACATTACGCATATACGTGTCTGATATACGTTACTTGTACGACGGCTACATGCCATGCCTGCAACATTACACATATACATGTCTGATATACGTTACTTGTACGACGGCGTGATCTCGCGGTCCAGTACAACATTGGTAGCGAGGATCCCTCGCACCGAGTCTAAGATGAAGGCTTGGTTGTGGTTACCAGACGTGATGGCGTAATCTATCTGTCCGTTGACTCCACTGTCTGCATCAACAGCAAACACCTGTGACACAGTCCAGAGGAGTTGAGTCCTAACAGGAGCTGCGGCCCGTGTTATGTCAGAGAACTCATCAACACTGACTGTTTACCTGCATTATGTAGGTGTTGTGCACTTGTCCCTCCCAGACAGCTGTCCGGTAACTGCTGTATTCGAACAGCGGTGAGTTGTCATTGACATCCCTCAGGGTGATGGTAACCCGACAGTGAGCCGTCTGCAGTCCACTGTCAGCCAGCACCACCAGCTGGATCTGAGGGCTCACCTCAAAGTCCAGGGATTTATCCCTCTGTACCCGGATCTCACCTGCAGAGCAGGAGAAGACCAGGTCAAACGCCACTCATCACTGTCTGAGGTTAAAGGGAAGCATTGATTAGACAGACGTGGGATAAGTCAATGCATAGGTGTGACGACAAATCTTCAAACTTCTGCTTTTTGGATGAAGTTTTTGGGAACAGCACGATGTCCTTCAGAATGTTTTGTACTCGAGAATCTGTGTCTAATTTTAATTATATTGATATAAAATCCAAAAACTAGTCCGGTTGGGGATGTGATTAAATTAGACTGGCAAGAGGAGAGGGGAAAAAACAGACATTAAAAGTACAATGAAAAGGGAGTGAGAAAGAGTGAGGGAGAAAGAGAGACAGAGACAGAGAGAGAATGGAAACATGAATCATCCGACGTTGCTCTTGTTTTGTCCATAAACAATGGTGAGCTTTTGAAATCAAGTTATTTTTTGGCAACCTTTGAGGAAAATAAAATGCACGAGTGAAAGAGCCTCTGTGCTGCTTGCATAATTCAAATTATAAAGGCATGGTGTTCCAGTCACAATTGCTGAACATTGGCTTCACAGATGAAAGAACAATAAAAAGCAATTGTGTTTTTTGTCTGTTTTTTTTTTGTCTGTTGTTATTTTGCAAAAATTCCCCATGTTTCTTGCCTGTGTGGCCGCTAATGGAGAAAATGTGATTCTCGTTGCCACTGAATATGCTGTAGGTGATCCTCTGTCTGCCGATGGTTGGATCGCTGGCCTCCACTTTGGTGATCCAGGCGCCTGGAAAAAGAAAACCTGAAAGTAAGTCTAAAAATGTTGTTGGTATAAAATGAGAATTAAAGTTAGGATTCAGATAAAAATAATCCAATAATCTCATCATAATGTAATGTAAAAGCATAATCTCATCAACTATCCTATATAATATGATTTTAGCTGGTCACTCTTTCACAGCTATTGCTTCAAATTTCCCACTGATCTTTATTCAAAAAAGGGAAAGGGTTTTCATTTCACTGAAATACTCCAAGTTTAAATACCATCACAATGACGAGCTGAAGGCTTCAATTTCAGGTCAGATGCCTGGTTTGCATCAGACAAACCTCACCAATGTGGGGCAGCAATACACAGAAAAATGTCATACACAGTATAATGACATAAATTTGTTTTTGTCATAATAAGTAATGTTGATGTAATGAAGAGAATTGTGATTAGTCGACATCTAACCTCATGTCGTCATTTAAGTACAAATCAGATTATTGGAAACCGCTGTTTTGGCAGAAGGATCCCAGATTATAATCCTACCTAAAAACCATTTTAAAAGAACATCAAATCCACTTATATCACAGCCTGTATTCCTTGACAGATGCTAAAATGACGTTTGGACAACGTGTCAGATTTACCTGCTCCACTGTTCTCCTCCACGGTGGCGTTGTACACTTTGCTTGTGAACTGGAGTCCTTCATGTTCCCCCTTCAGGTGAACGAAAACCAAGCAGGCGGAGGTGAGCGCAGGACGACCTCCGTCTGAAACCATGACCTCCAGCTTCCTCCCTGAGAACTCTGCTGTGACTCGTCTCCTCAGTGAGATCTCTCCAGACTCGGCATCGATGACGAAGCCGTCGTCGTCAGTGGACAGCGTGTAGTGTAACGTCGCGTTCTCACCCTGGTCGCCGTCACTGGCCTTCACGGTTGTAACTATCTGGTGTGGTGGCGTTACCAAGGATACCCAGGCATTGATGGGATTCTGATCACACACAGGCACGTTGTCGTTCACGTCCTCCACCTCCACGGTGACATGAGCCACTGAGCTCTGTGGCCCCTGACTGCAGCCGTCTGTGGCTACCACCTTTAATGTATACTGAGCCTTGGTCTCCCTGTCCAGAGCTCTGGTGGTGCAGATCACCCCCGTGAACGGGTCCACAAAGAGCGCCCCCTGGCTGTTGTCGTCTGTCACTGAATAGGTGACGTCACCGTTGGAGCCCTCATCTGGATCAAAGGCCGTGACACGCAGGACCTCAGCTCCAGCAGGTACGCCCTCGCTGACGGAGGTGTGGTAGCTCATCTGGGCGAATAAAGGAACGTTATCATTCTGGTCCAGCAGAACCAGTAGGAGTTCTGTGGATGAAGTGAGCGGGACTGGGCCGTTATCCCGAGCCTGTATGATGAGTGAATAGTTCTTCTTTTCTTCACGGTCCAGAACCTGTGTGGTGCTGACGGAGCCAGTGTGGATGTCGATGGTGAAACGACCTCCGTAGTCTTCCCCTAAAAACATCAGAGAGTGTAATGTAATGCAGTGTTTTATTTATTCATCCATGCTTTCATTTATCTCCTACAATCCAGTCCTCTTCACAGCTGATGAAGCTGGTACCAAGCCCAGCAGCCATCAGGCAAATACCAGCTACACCCTTTCCCAAAGACTGGGTCACGACCCTTAGGTGGGTCACAAGAGGTTTTTTTTGGGTCATCTCACATCATGTTTCCCAGGAGTTTACGAATAATGTCTATTGACTTGGGTCGCAAAGGTTTGTGACTTTTAAAATATGGGTCCCCAGAAAAAAGTTTGGGAAACACTGGTCTATTTTGTGTATTTTATACGGTCAGTTTAGAGGCTCCATTCAGCCTAAACCTGTCTGTCTGTCACTCTTCCCTTCTGTCTGTCTCTCCTGGGTTCATTAGTTTTGTCACCCTCACCTGTGTCACCTGTGATTCCCTGTCAATCAGTCTCACTCGTCTCTCCTGGTGCCCTGGGTATATACACCTCCATCCCTCACTCTGTCAGGTCATTGTGTTTCCTGTTGTCACTGTTGTGGTTCCTTCCTGTTCCTGAACTCCAGGTCTGTATCTTAGAGATTTTTCTGTCGAGTTAGCTTTAACTACCAGATTTAACTTTGGACTTAATAACTTAATAAATGTCTGCACCTGTGTGACCATAATAATTTTTAATAAATGTCTGCACCTGTGTGACCAGTGTGCTGCAGTTGGGTGGTGAAAACACAGTTTGCAAAACATACAAACCCCATACAGAAGGATCATTAGTAACCACTAGGGGGTCCCAAACAGTGAGAGCACTAACCACTCTCCATCTGTTTATCTTGGAACAGAAGTGTTTAAATAAACAAATTAGGTCAAATTGGGTCAAGAGACCACGGGGAAGTGGTGGCTTGGTGGTTAAGGACTCAGACTTGAGTCTGGAAGGTATCAGGTTTGAGTCCACCCCTGCCCCTGCTCACTTTGGTGATGGGTTGAAAGCAGAGGCCACATGCAGTGGTGTGCTGTGTCACAATGACACTCTTTAAAGAGCTGCTAACAGTAATGAATTAACAAATTAAAGGTTAGTTTGAATTTTAAAAACAACTAAAGAATCAGCTACTCTCTTCTTCATGAGGTGATGACTGCGGGTTTTCACAATAGTTCTTTCAGCCATTTTGTGCTCATTTGTTTTTGGCTTCAAGTAAAGTATGTCCTCTGGGAGAATCCCATGGTCTCATCCCTCTGCATTCCGCAACGTCCCTGTCATTTATCATTTGTCTTGCCATCTGTAAGTGGGCCATCATTTCTCTTCTCTCTGTACCACATGCCAAACACAGAAGTAACATGTGTTCCACTGTCTGCCTTTTCCTCAAAATGACTTCACCTCCCTGACTGATGTCTATATGAGCTGCATAACCAGCAGCGCCCAGGAAGTGTGCTCGCTATAATTGTTTTATTATTTCTGAAATATTCACCTTAATGTGAAGCACACTTGTTCCATTATGGGCCTTTGCCAATGCTCAGTCTACTAAGGGTTGTACGTGTGATCCCGCAGTACTGTTTTGTCTCCGTTCTTTGTTGGTTAACACATAATGCTTGACTGGTCTTACATGCAGTGAACAGAGGCCCTGCTCCTGCTGCTGAACGTGTCATGTAAACAAGAGCTAGAACAGAGTGAAAGTCGATCGGTCCGTTATCATGTCATCTGTGTTGAGTTACCATAGGAGAAAAAAAAGAAAAGCGAAATGTGCAGCAGCCGAGTGTAACTTGTTCAACAACTGGTGCCTAAAGGGGCGGCAGCAGCCCTGATGTTTCCACAGGACTAACTGATAACATGTCTTACCTACTGTGCTGCACTTTACTTTGATGCTTTTTTTATTATCTTCATTTAGGTTTAGATTAAGTGTGAGGTGTTTAATTCACCATCCGAAGTGAAATTGTATTTTTCACTTGTTTGCCATGCTCTAATTTAAGTGTTTTAATGTTTTCAACGGTGCTGCCTGACTAATTTAAACGCTGTTTAAAGCTCTGTGAGTTTAAAAATTTCTAAATGAAAAGCAGCAGCTGTATTGCATAACATGAGTCACTTGTGGTCTATTTTATTTCTTCCTTTAGGGGCACAGAGTATTGGTACAGAGTTTGAACATTTTTTTTAAATTTTTTTTTCAGATGGCTTCATTAGGAAAAGTACATCCAGTGAAAGTACATGTGGTGCATGTACATGCACGTTGTCATTAATGCAGTATTATTTTGAATTTCATTATTGTTCTAACTCCAGAGTGGAGACAAAAAGGTGCCACGTTGATAATGGTAGCAGCAAATACTCTGTGTTGTAGTATCAGTTTAAGTATCTGACGTATAAAGTGGCACTGGACCGTCTCTACTGTCCTATTTTATGTGTGAACTTGGTTCCACATAAAAACACATTTTCTCTTCCCTGTCTATTTCTACTTAACTGTGTGCATCATGTCATTAATGAGATCTTAGGAATAATGTATTTTACTTTCATGATCGTATTAGTCAGAAAGGCTGTTTTTGATATGCTCACTTTTTTCACATAAAAAAACAAAGTAACTTTTAATGCACAACGAAAGTACGTCCCCTAGTATTTTAACGATTTTTACACTTTAACAGCTGTTCCTAATAAATAGCTTGCACATTGTTTGAGCATAAAATTCAAAACTAACATAAAAGAAAAAAAAAAAACTTCTTACCCTGTATTGAATAGTCTATGGTTCCGTTTTCCTTCAGATCTGGATCAGAGGCCTGGACGGTGTGGACGATCCCTGGGGGCAGGTTTTCTGGGAGGCTGACGTGGAAGGATGAATGCATGAACTCTGGAGGGTTATCGTTCACATCCAGCACAGAGCAGCGTACCACCGCGGTGGCTGTCAGAGGCTGTGGGCCGCTGTCATGGGCTTGGACTGAGAACAAGTAGGAAAATGAATTCACACTCCTTCAACACACAATCACAATCTACCACACGCTTTGTGATTTTTATATGTTGCAAATTGTACTACTGTTTACCATTTGCTCATGATTTGTTTGGTTGTGTTTTAATTGGTTCCATTAAGGGTAGAATAATAATTATCAGATGGGTTTTGTGGTAATGATGATTCAAATAAACAATAAAGGATAAAATGACAATTAAAGTAGATGGACGATGGATGGATGGTGAATAGCCGGCCATCAGGCTTACAGCTTTTAACCTACCAAATATTCAAACCAGATCATACTTTTCACAGCTATAAACACTTACAGTAACATATGAAATGTGCTGCGACCACTTGTAATAGTTACTGAAAAATACTCGGGATTTAATTTCTCCAAATTCCGCCGCTGCCAGAGCAAACTCTCCCCACATATTTCAGCATTTCCCAGCAGTCCCTGTGTGATTCTGGCCTGATCTAAGACAGGCATGCTCTACTGTTATTTTATTTTGTTATTAAAACTAATTGTTCTCCATACTGCTGGCTGCACAAACATTATGCTACAACATCTGAAAGCAGTTTTATCACCAAACACTGCAGAATGGCTTGTATGTACAGTAATTACTGCGTGTGCCCCCCCGGCACAAGGCTCAGGGGGCAGCAGTGAGGTTAGACGTACTGTACCATAGTCTGCTGTTTGCATAACATCCATCAATCTGCTCAACAATGTTGTGTTCACACAGGGGGCAGACATGGAATTCAAATTCAGGAAGAACGAGGAACTCAAGGGGAACAAAGTGAAACAAAAATAAAATCCAAAATTTTAATTACATTTTCAATTCTAAATATTTAAATACTGTTTTAATTGAGGCTAGTGGTAAGATACAGCTGCAAGGGGTGGATGGAGTTAAATGAGGGTCAACCAATCAGAGTAATGGACAGAACAACAATTAGGTGAAGGAAATGGTGGAACAGATGGAGACACTAGTTTAAAAGACAGCAGTGAGACCTGCTATGATGTATGGTTCAGAGACAGTGGTCCTCTGTCCTATAGACTGAAGGCTGAGTTGGAGACAGCAGTAGAAATGAGCAGATCAGAGGGACAGTGTATTAGTCTGTGTCTTCTCACCCCTGATGAAGTAATGTTGCTGCTGCTCTCGGTCCAAGGAGGCGTTGGTGGTGATCAGACCAGTGTCGGGGTCGATGGTGAAGAGCTCGTAGCCTGGGGCCGGCAACAGACTGTACGACACCACTGCGTTCTCCTCTGAAAACAGACCCGCAAGATAATTCTCCATCAATTTACATCCTTGAATAATTGCTGATTTTAATCCACATGACTGAAATGAACTAGTTATAGAAAATCAGAAACAACAGAATCCCCCCAAAAGTCTTCAATTCAAAAACAACCCAGTGTAGATGTGAAGTTTAAACTGAACCAGATTAGTGCTTTAGTCTTAAAAGCTTAAATTCGAGGTACGTGCTCAGTGAGATATCCCAAAAATTAAGGTAATTAAATGGTAAAAATAAAACAAGTAAAGTACATGACAAAAAGCAAAATAGAGGAAAAAAACAACAACTATTTATTCACATGTATTTCACCTTATTTTAAAAGCTTTTGAAAATCTCTCACAACAACACACTTAACTCATAAAACTGTGCCATACAATGGAGTCCACAGCATGTGTTGTATCACACAGGATAGCTGTCACATCCACTGTTACTGCTCATTTCCTCTGATTGACTCTAACACATTTGGAAACTGGATACGGAGACCAACACGGACACATAACAAATAAGCTCGGTGTGTGTGTGTGTGTGTGTGTGTGTGAGTGGACGGAGCTGCCAGACCGGGCGTCAGATGAAAACACGGTGCCTCTTGGCACAGATGGCTTGGATTATGGAAATCATCACGAGCAGGGACCTTCAGATGGTCCCAGAGGAGCTACGTGCTTGCTGTTCTTGGACAATTCTCACCCAGAAGAATGTTAGCTCACACTGAGAACCCCTCCTGCGTTAAACGTCCTGTTATGTGACCTCCTCTACCCCTTCAAGTTTAAATGGACTTTTACTGTCAACATGAGTAGATGGAACGGATTTCAAGAGGCCCCGGCGAACAATGTGTAAAAGAAATAAACTGAGCTGATGTGCAGATTAGTGAATGTGATTGTGGGTCAGATAAAGGAGATTCACTGGTATGGAAGGGTAAACTCAGATGGACTGGAGGAGGGAAGGACATTGTGTTGAATCAAAGTGCTAATGGAGTGAAACAACACAGATGAGAACCTTGATTCACTGCAGCAATTCAAGTTAAACTAAAACAGTGCAGGGTGGTCAACATGTTCCATGTGGTTCTCAGGAAAATAGAAGTGAACTGGAGGAGTTACTTCCTGTTAAAGACATTTACTGTGCATTTAAAAGATCTGGTTTAAAGTTGAACTGATTTAGAAAGAAATGTAGTCAATATTTTAAGACTACAGCCAAAGCGAGTGCTGCCATCTAGAGGCCAATTAAATGCACACTTCCATTGCCCCCTATAACAGGCTGAGGTCAGGACTACAGTCATTTTACCTGAATCTTGATCAGTGGCTGAGACTCTGATCACAGGTTCTCCTGGGTCTTTGTTTTCCGACACGCTGGCGTTGTAGATGCTCCGACTGAAGACGGGGGGCTGGTCATTTACATCTTCCACCTCCACTGTCAAAGTCTGGGTGGAGGAGAGCGGGGGAATGCCCTGGTCCACGGTGCGGACAGTCAGACGGTGGAAGGGTTGATTCTCATAGTCAAGAGGGGCAGAGAGAAACAGAAGACCTGATGGAGTTAAATACATAAAACCGTCAGTTGAAACAAATATAAAATATGATGCAACATCATCTGTAAATATTTAAACCTACTATTATCACCTGGAATTATGTAAAATGTCATTCTCAACATGAAAGTTCAAGTAGTCCAAGCTAAGTTCATGCTAATTTCCTCTATTTCTAACCTTTTCTCACTGTTTTTTTAGTTAAATTAGTGCCACCTACTGGCTGTATTTTTCTCATGTCAACATTTTAATGTAAAAAAAAAACCATTGCAAAAAACAAACACAAAAACTAAACAACAGTTAGCATTTATTTTGATTACCACCTTACTATCTACCTCACCATGTGACCCATTTGTATATGGGTCACATGGGTAACACTTACAGTATATATTGGTGATAAAAACCTGAGCAGCAATAACATATTCTTACCAGTTTTCTCCTCTATTTTGAAGAATCCATTCTCGTTCCCAGCTAAGATTGAATACGAGACAAGTCCATTTTCACCCTTATCTCCATCGATTGCCACAAAGTGATGAAGCAGACTCCCCACCTCGGCATCCTCCATCACCTGCACGAAATCTGCTGATATAAACACCGGCCTGTTGTCGTTCACATCCAGCAGAAAGACCTGCGCTGTCACTGACGCCTGCTTCCGCTCCTCCGTCCGCTTTGCTTGATCAGTGGCTGTAACAGTGAAGGCAAAACTGGCAGTTGTCTCTCGATCTAAAGGAGCTGCGACAGTAAGATTTCCTGTCTGGCGGTCGATCTGAAAGGGGAAACGCGCTGGTGAGTTACTGTCGCCGGCGTCAGTGTTCAGGGTGTAGTGAAGGACACTGTTTTCATAGGTTCCATCGGCGTCTCTGGCCTTAAATGCGAACGCTAGCGATCCGATCGCAGCGTCCTCCCTCAGGCTGAAGGTCACAAGCCGGTCGGGAAACCAGGGCGTGTGATCGTTCACGTCCTCCACTTTGACACTGACCATCACCGAGATGTTCACTTTGGGTGAGGGGCCAACACCTTCAGCTCGTACCATGAGGGAGTACTGCATGGTCGTCTCGTAGTCCAGCGGCTGGTTGATGTAGAGGTCACCTGAAGATGCGTCAATGCCAAAATAAATACTGCCGTCACCCTCGGAGATGGAATAGTGACATTTGACCGTATCTGAAATACTGGCAGAGCCTATAACACTTCCTGGTTTTGTGTCCTCCTTCACTGTGAAGTGTCTCATGATGTGATGGTCAGTAAGGCCACGAAGAGTCTTTGATCCATGCACCTGAAGGTGAAATATAAAATAAATAACACAAAAAAAAAGTAAATTAATGTCCATCTTTACACAACTCCCAATTCTTTCCCCCCGGGGTGGTGATAACGCAGAAACTACAGCTAATGGCCATGGTAATACAACAAAGTTGGCAGTAAGTGTCCGTCATAGTCATTCCGTAAACCTGCAGAATAGTCCGACAGATAATTTGTACCTGTACGTGAACGAGAGCGTTCTCTTCCTGAGGTACGACTCCACCGTCTTTAGCAGTTACTCTGAGAGTGTAGAACACTTCAGCGTTCTGAGAGAAAAGTTCTGTTGTCCTGATTTGTCCACTTTGACTGTCAATTTCAAAGTGTCCCACGCCATCGTATTCAAAATCAGCTGAAAGGACAAGGACGTCATTGGTTAAAGGTCCAATATATGACATCAAATATATAACTATATTGATACAAATATACTATAATAGTAATAATCAATAATATTTTATTAGACTCACTTATAACCAAAGAGAATGTAACAGTTCCATTTTCCCCTGCATCCAAATCTTTGGCAAACATATTTGTTATTGTGGATCCGGTCGGCAGATCTCTCCAAATCTGGAGAACAGACACAACAGTCTGTGTTGTCATGGAACATTTTTTAAAGCCATATCAACTACAAGTGCAATAAACACAGAGAAGTCTTAACATTTTACCTAAAATATTCTGAAAACTAGTTTATTTTCAATGCTCCTGACCATAAACTACCCTCTGTGTCAAAATGAAAAGAGAAGAATTTTATAAACGTGATCATCCATGTCTCATTAAGATTAATAACACCGTGGAAACATGCATTTTCATTATCAAACGTGCTTATTATTTTATCCCTAGAACACATTTTATGATAGTGAATGGAGTCAACATGACCCTGAATGAAAAACATATCAAGTTGGTACTGAATTAAACTGCACCCAATCCTTGTGATTTCCTGTCATGCTCTACTACAGTGTTGAGGTTATGTGAAAAGATGCATCCACACCTGCAGGTTCATCTCTTTACTGGTGGGCAGATGTGTGAACTGTGGCGAGTTGTCGTTGACGTCAGTGACCAGGATGTAAACGGTGGCTGTGGCGTTGAGACGAGGGTGACCCTGGTCTGTGACCATCACCTTCACAGTGTGCTGAGTCTGTTTCTCTCGATCCAGTGGCATCCAGTTGATGATTTCACCTGGTTGATTAAAACAAAGACAAACACAGAATTCAGTTAAAGATGCAGGGCAGCAGTGTAGTGTTTGTTTGTTTGTTTGTTTTTTTATACCTGTTTTTGCATTAATACGGAAGAACTTCCCGTCTGAGAGCAGGATGTAGGAGAGCTGGGCATTTTTCCCAGAGTCCTTATCCAGAGCCTGGACCGTTCCCACCAGACCCTGAGGTGATGACCCCTCTGATACAGTGAAGTAGAAGACGTCGCTGCTGAAGACAGGAGCGTTATCATTGATGTCCAGCACCAGCACATTCACCGTGGCCGTCACCGTCCTGTTTGCCAGTGAGGCCTCGTTCGCTGTGGCCGACACTTGAAACCGATATGTGGCTTCTGTCTCGTAGTCCAGGCTGTGGGAAAGATACAACCAACCGGTTTTAGGGTGGACCTGAAATGGAGGAGAAGGGAATCCAGGTTCTGCCTCCAACGAGTAGGTGAGGCCCCTGTTTGGGGAGAGACTTCCTCGGGTCCAGTGGGCCCTCACCTGGATGACCCTCGAGTCTTTACGGTAACCCTCTCCTATCTCAACCTGGTAAACTAACGTCTCAAAGGCCAGGCTGTCCTCAGCGGTCGTGCCGTCCACATTTACAGTGAGGGTCAGTGTTGAACTCAAGGGCGGCGCTCCTTCATCTTTAGCCACAATCTCTAGGACGTACCTCTGCTGATGATACATCTGTAAACTGTGGTTCAGTTTCACTGTCCCCTGGTGAGAGTCAACAGCAAACAAACCATTTTTGCCGTCTTTCAGGTGATACTGCACCTGACCGTTGGCACCACCGTCACAGTCGTGAGCGTGTGCGATGAAAAGAACAGTTCCCGGGAGGGTTTTTTGGGACACTGTGATGGCGTCAGTGCTTTTAGGGAAGAGTGGAGCGTTGTCATTGACATCAGCGATGGTGATGTTGACTTGAGTGGTGCTGTACACTGGAGATGTGTCCGTGTAGGACTGGACGAACAGCAGGACGGACGACAGGGACTCGTGGTCCAGAGGTTTGACGTTGGTGATCAGGCCGGACTCAGGTCGAATGGCAAACAAACCCATGGGATCACCAGAGGAGATTCTGTAGGACACGGATTCACCTGAGTCTATGAAGAACAAACAGACCATAATAATAGTCGATTAGTCTGGAGTCTTTACTTTTTGTGGAAGTATCTGGACAGTAAAGTACTTTAAAAGTACAAGAACAAAACATGCCTGTTTTTTAGAACCTCATTAAAGCATTAAAGTCAACAAGCAGTAAACAACAGTCGTAGTCCACGTCATTAAAGTCAACAAGCAGTAAACAACAAGTTGGGAATTTGACAGTTCACAGTTAGCTGCTGACAAAGTTAAAATAACGGTGTCTACCAGGATTTATTGATCGTATAAGCTGTTCTGGAATTCCTAATGGATGTAAAAAAAAAAAAAAAAAGTATGTTTACTGGATGACCTTTGACCAGGACGGTGTGTATACCAGTGTACTGTCGGCCACATTTTTCATTACTTGTCATCAGCCTGTGTAAAAGATTACATCTGCCTTGACCCACTGCTCACTGAGACAGTGATAGTTCATGTGTTGTTGTCACAGTCACCTGTCAGGATGGTTACTGCCAACGTACTGCACCTGCAGTTACCACTAACATTTTTAGTGGAAACCTTTGGTTCATAAACTATCATAAAAACATATATTACTCATATTCCTTCTGCGTCAGCTGACATGTCTGAGAGCAGTCAGGTGATGCAGTGGTACATGTGACTTGAGAGATTGCCTCAGTCACTTGAGGACATTAGAAACTTATACAATGTGCTTTTTGAATCTGTGAGAATGCGTGAAGCCATTGATGGTGACTAACTTTATGATGTTCTGATCCCACACTCACCCACTGGGTCTTTGGCGGCCACTGTCCCCACAGAGGTTCCTGCTGCTGCGTCTTCAGAAACACTGAAGTTGTAGCGTGATTTTTGGAACACAACTGGAGCTTGAGCACTAGGAAGGATGGTTATAGTGACCTCTGCAGGTTTGGCTGATGTAAGGCCTCCACCATCCTGTGCTGTTATCAGGAGCTTCAGGCTGGCTGCACCCAGGTGGGTCAGGGCTGAGGTCAGGAAGAGGGTTCCTGTGATAAAGTTGGCATCATCAGAAGGGTATATGGAATATGACACAGGCTCTTACCATCACCGGAAAGAAATTCAAGTATGTGAGGAGTATATTGAGCTGAGATTCCTATTATGACTTTTACAGCATTCCTAATTTGATTTTAGTTGTACTAGCTACTATTTTCTGCTATTTATTTAACTCACTTGTACTGCACATTTTCTCGTGAACGTGCTCACCTGTTTGTTTATCCAGGGTAAATAAAATAGACACATCACCAGGGAGGAGGTTGTAAGTGACTTGTCCAAACCTGTCACAGTCAGGGTCAGTAGCAATGACATTGAGGATTTCTGTCCCTGGCTTTGTGTAGCTGCTAATACTCATAGAGTACTCATCAGGATTAAACAGTGGAGCGTTGTCATTCAAGTCCTCTATCTGGATATGAACATAGGTTTGAGCACTCAGGCCTCCCTGACCACAGAAGAATGAAAGATGGAAGGAAGATTGAATTTTCAACTAATTGAAAAAAAAACAGATGATGATCAGAGAAAATCACAGATTAATGTTCCTCACTGGATCCTCAGCTTTGATGAGAATATCGTGGAAGGTCTGCCCTCCATCTCGATCAATGTCCTGAGAGACACACAGCTCCCCAGTCTTTGGGTTGATGTGAAAGAGAGGATGTTGGTCGTTCTTGTCAAAACCATCAGACAGAGAGTAAAGAACTGTGCCGAAGTCAGGACCGTCGGCATCTGTGGCAACAACCTGAAATGAAAATAAATGGGCAAATTACAGTAGCAGATTTTGAAGTGGCAGCAAATAAACATTCTAAAGCCAAAAGAAAAAAAATATTATTTGTAACATTTTTACACTTCAGAGTTACAAAAACACAACAGAAAATGAGTTTAAAAAACAGCTGTCCCTGTAGGATACACTCTACCAGTTTTCCAAAACTTTTTATGTGTCACACATTTGTAGATTAAAACAAATGTTCAATTCCCATAGTGCTCTGATGCTGCCTTCTCTGTCATATTTCTGTTTTAAGTGCACTAACATTTAGTTAATACATCAGTGATATCTTTCAGCCCAATCAGTGTTTAGGTTCAACCTTTGCTGTCACTGAAAGTCAACATTGTAAAAGGGTAAACGTTGAACGGGTGACAGTGAGAACCAGGAGACGGGCAGATGTGACGGCTGAAGTCACACCTCCGCTGGTTTACATGTGTGACTGTGTCATTGAAAAGACACGCACATTAAAGGCAGAGTGCTCACTTTCCTGCCATAAAGATGATATCGCCTCTGATTTTATGGCGTTGTAGTGACACGGGTCAAGGTCCGATTACACAAACAACACACCTAACGTTTACTTTCAATGTCTTAACTGAGATCCGGCAGTGAGTTGTCACAGCTGGAGACTAAACACATAACGGTGACTGTCCGTGTGTGGAGTCGTGATCGTAGATTAGAAGCTGAGCTTGTTAATTCTGTTTGTAATTTTAAAAAAAGACAAGGTCTCCTTTGTGGATGATTTCAGCTTGGTGTGGTACCAGGCATCACATCTGAGAGACAGAGAGACACAGAGATGATGAGAGGAGAGAGAGAGAGAGAGGCAGCTGTTGTCACAGAGACAGAAAGCTACTTTTGTGTTACGAGCTGAGGAAAGAAATGGTTAATAAAGGAGACAAATACGCAAGTGCTACTTTTGGACATAGAAGTATATTATAATTTCTTTCTTCTGGTAATATAACATGATCCATTCATCAGAGCTAATTTAAAGCACTTGTTTAAAGAGGTTTGTTTTGTCTTTTATTGGCGACATCTCTGGTCAGGTGACATGAACTGTGTGCAGTAATGATAGATTGGCCAAATTCCAAATAAACAAACAAAAAGTTTGGTTCATTTTATGATACGGTTTGTAGTGTGTTTTGCCATTTTAAATCCACAAAATGAAACATTCTCCAACGTACTTGTAGAAAGCAGCTTCCGACATCACTGTGCTCTGGGATGGACACATTGTACAGCTGCTGCTCAAACACTGGCTCGTTGTCATTGACGTCCTCCACCAGCACAGTTACCGTGGCCGTGGACGACAAAGATGGATCTCCTCTGTCCATCGCTACCACAAGAAACCACAGCTCCTCCTGTGTCTCCCTGTCCAGACTCACAGTCGTTGTAATGAGGCCCGACTGCTGGTCGATGCTGAGGAGACTGTCCTGCTGGGACTGGAGGATGGAATATCTGACCTCCGAGTTGACTCCTTCATCCGCATCTCTGGCCTGCAGCTGGATTACAGAACTCCCTGGTGGAGTGTCCTCCGAGATGCTGACGGTGTACACGTCCTTCTCAAACACAGGATGGCAGTCATTGCTGTCAGTCACCTTCAGCAGAAGGACCATCTCACTGCTGAGGGAGGGGCTTCCAAAATCTGAGGCCTGTATCTTTAGCTCGTACAGATCCTTGTCTTCCCTGTCTAATTCAGAATTCACACATAGAGCATAAAGAAAATCATCAGTCTGCATCAGGATAAACTTCCCATCACCTCCTGTGAGTGTGACTGTGACCCTGTCCTCCTCAAGGTCAGGGTCCGACACTGAAATCCTGGCAACAAAGTCCCCAACTGCTGTGGCCTCCGACACTACTGCATCTCCTGTGTCGCTGAGAAACAGAACGCTAATGGAGGGGCTGTTGTCGTTAATGTTGACCACCCTCACACCCACGAGCGCACTGCTGTACTCAGGCTGAGCCCCGTTGTCTGTGGCGGTTATGATCAGCTCGTGGAACGCGCGAGTCTCAAAATCCAACGGTTTGTTGAGATAAATCCCTCCTGTGGTTTGGTTGATGGAGAAGACCTCGTTAGGGTCGCTCTGCCGTCTGTTGATCTCGTACGTTATCCTGCCATTTTCGCCCAGGTCCAGATCTGTGGCATGGACCTCACAGATGGTGGACATGACTGGAGCGTCCTCAAGCACCAAGGCGTGGTACTCAGTCTGGTTGAACACCGGTGGATTGTCGTTCTCATCCAGGACATGGACATTCACCTGAAGAGTTCCAGTCCTGGCTGGAATACCTCCATCGAAAGCCTCAATGGTCAGAGAGTAGAAGCTCTGGGTTTCTCTGTCCAGTTGGCTGTGGAGGACGAGTTCCAGAAACATCTGATCATTTTTGGATCCATTGTGATAATTCAAATCAAATAACTTTCCAGGATCACTCTCTCTGATTCTGTAGCCCTGGGTACCAAAATCACCCTCATCCTTATCTGTAGCTCCTTCAAGTGGAAACCTAGTCCCCGGAAGGCTGAACTCTGATATCTCCAGATCAACCCTCTCTGAGGGAAACACAGGTGAGTTGTCGTTCACATCCTTCACCTCTATTTTCACTTTTATCACCTCACCTGTGAGGGAGGCTGCAACAAATTCGTACTTCTCCCTCCTCTCTCTGTCCAGGACCACAGCAGTGGAAATGACCCCCGTGTCCACATCTATTTCCAAATCCTTGAACACACGAGAATCTCTGCTCTCTGAGACGAAGAACCCAGACGTTGGTCTACTTAGACCGGCTCCCAGAGTTCCAATGATGGTGTTAGCAGGTAAACCCTCCGTCACAGCCAGCGTCAAGTTAAACACCTGCCCGAGTGCCTGTGCGCAAAGCAGCAACAGGATGAGCGTCACCAGGAACGACTTTGAGGCATTTTTGAAACCCATTCCTCCTCTCCGACAGACTTAGTCTTCCGTAAGTCGGAGTCAGATTCCAGCTACATGTTTCTGTCGGATTCACAAAGATCACTCATGTTTTAAAGGACAACAACAGACCAGATAAACGCTTCTTCTAGGCAGCCGCTTGTCGTCGGCTAATCCTTCACAAATGATAAATCCCAATGATTCTGGAGCCTTAATAATCCGAAGATAAACCAGCAATAATTATTGAATAAGTTACAAGTCGGGGACCGAGTGACACCAGAGATTCAGTCTTATCCATCTGTGGCCCATGACGTTACTACGACGTCCACGCGCTGACAGGTGGAACTGTTCATTCACTATCATAAAAGTGCAGGAACCACTAAGAAACTCCCGACACTGCACCTGACTTTTGCTTAGCAGTTAATTAATTACCACGGACCAGAATGTTAATTTTTTTTAAACTATGGATTTAGTTAAAATTGTTTTAGTAATTAAGAGAAAGAGAGACAGAGAGAGTAGCACAGAGTAGGAGTGAGAAATATTTAAGAAAATACCAAAAACGTGGCAGTGGCTCCCCCTACTGTCTTCAGTTTGAGTGATAAATAAATACTATCAACAAAACATCAAAACAAATACAGTCGTTGTATTTTATTTATCTTGTTTTATTTTTAAAAAAAGTATTACTCACACTGATAACAACGATTTAAATGTTATATTTTAACATTTTATGGGATTTATATTTTATTTGTTTACTAATTGAGGTCAGAGGATCTCACCCTGGTGCTTAACAGTAAAGAATTTGTCATAAGTTTAAGGTAAATAATAGTATAGAAAATATTATATGCAAACACATTCAATTTAAGGATACTTTTTTCATCGGTGCTTCTTTATTGGAGCTCTGGTTCCACAGTAACGTGTGCTTCAAGTAGTAGAACACGTTGGACAGAATGAATGCTAGCATGCTAATGTGTTAATGACGTAGTTATTATTGTCAAGGCGTTATTAACCACCTCACCTCCCACCAGAGTCGGTGTGTAACCAAGCAACACATGTAACCTGAGACAAAACAAGCAGCAGCTCTACTTTGCTTTTCTCCTTCACCTGAGTTGATGTGAGACTGAAAACATTTTCCCTGCACGTTTATACGTTATTATTTTCACTTAAAAAAAATGCCATCTCATATCATGCTGTCCTATCAGTGGAAGGACCAGACTCTTGTGCAGAAGATCTACAGTCGCCTCAGAGATGACGGGCTGCCTGTGTGGATGGACATAAATGGAGGTGTGATGGGGAATATCAACGATGCGTAAGGACCATAGTAAAGTGGATTTGACCTTGACTTTATAGGTTTTTTTTCAACAACTAGAGTTAAAATAATACCACACCTTGTAAACATTAGTAGACGGTGCTGTAGAGACAGCTGAGAGTCTGTGCTTGTTTTCAGGATTGCTGCAGGTGTGGAGGAGGCCGTAGTGATTTGTCCCTTCTTGACCCCAGAGTACCAGGCGTCCCGCAGTTGTAAGAAGGAGCTCAGCTACGCCGACACCAGGGAGGTCATCATTGTTCCAGTAATGCTGGCTAAGAGTTGGGAGGCCAGTGAGTGGTTGGGCCTGATCACTGCTGGTCTGCTGTGGGTGGACTTCAGGTGAGGAGCTGTGTCCATGTGGAGACGCTGACCAATAAAGAAGATAGGTAGAAGGAGTGATGATGGGATTGTTTGTGTCAAATACAGAAATGCAGACAAGAACGAGGAAAACTTTGAGATGTGCGTCAGATCTCTGGAGGAGGAGATCATGTTCAGCGCTGGTCACCTCCTGGATTTAGAAGAGCCCAAGTTAAGGTACACACTCACTGGGAGTTACATTATACTAACAGCACCATTACCACTGTTTACACATTTACCTTATTGATTAGCATGACCCTTATTCGTGGTTTTTTCTTAGTTTTTTTTTTTGCCTTTTAAATTGCTCTATGTACTAATCTGGTTTTCTCAGTAAAGTGGACATGGAACCAGAACCTCCAAAGCACTACCTGAAAAAGAAACCCGGTCGAAGATTTCGCCACGCCATGTCACAGCTTTACATCCACGAACCAGGTACAGTATAAAGCACTATTAGAGAACTATTACAGAATTATATTTTTATATCTAAAAAAACTACAAAACTGTCAAAGTCTGACACTAGATTTGAATGTTTTAAATTAGAGCCTTTTACCGCATCAAGTTCATTAAATGCCTTACCAGTGATCTATGAATTGCAAAAGTTTTATTTTCAGTGATTTGTATAAATGTTTTGACCATCTCCTCGCGGCCTGTTTGTATCCTTTCTACAGATGAGCAGGTTACACATCAAACCTCCCTGAACAGAACCAGAGTGGAGCTCACTGAGACAGCTGGAGATCTGTGTTACTGGGAGGAGGTCAAAGGCCATGGCTGCAAATTCTACAAGAATGTGGTGACTAAAGGATACCTGGGTAAGACAGGAAATCAACCTTCACTGAACAAATGTACTTCTCTTCCTTGATTTTATTCAAAGGGGGAAAGCAGGTGAATACAATTATGTTTTTTTTCTCATCACTCGTCTCAGTAAAAAATAATACGTTTCGTTGCAGGGTATGACACAGGCAGGAACCAGGTTCACTCCGAGGCCATTCCCTCCGTCTCTGAGGAGTGGCTGCTCCTGGTGGATCAGATGGACGAAAGCGCCAGGCGAACCGTCATGATGAAGAATAAAAACTCAGGGAGATTCCTGGCAGTTCATAATGGCCGCTTTGTTGGACTGGAGTCTTACAACGAAGACTGCAAATGGTTTTTGGAATAAAGTAGAAAATTCTAATTGCCTTGTAATAGAATGTGGTTGTCTTCCATCATAGTCACAATAGGTTAAAGCTAAATCTGGTAGCTGGCAAAGCAACATGGCTGTATCTACAGAAGGTTTTGTAAAAAAAAAAAAGAAAAATAGAAGAATAAACCAAAACAAAACAAACATAACATCAGAATCGTTTTCTCTTAAGGATTTCAGGTTTCCAGTTGACTGGATGGCTCTCTTCCGTCTGTGAGAATAAAAAGAAACATAGATAAGAATATGCCAGGACTAAATGGAACTCTCTGGACGGGTTCAAATCTGATGAGAAAACTCACAGCAGTGTCGTCCTCTTTGTACACTTTTATGGTCTTGTCGGCCTCTGCGGTGATCAATCTGCTCTCTGATTTGTCAAACAAGCAGGCAAAGATGCCTGACTCGCTGTCCAGAGATCCGGGCTGCACAGCGGCATGAATCCTCTGGAAGTTGTAGCCCGTCCTCCAGTCCCACATGTGGATGGTTCCATTGTCGGCTAAAGAAGAGATCACACATTTGTGTCAAATGAGTGCAAAAAGGTAAACATTTTATTCCGCAGATTATAAGAAAAAAACGTTTTAAGTACCTCCAGATACCAGAACTCCATCAGAGTTGACAGCCAGAGTGTTGATGATGGCGTTATGGCCTGACAAGTTCTGGATGAAGTTGCCATCTGGAAATTTCCACTGCTTTATGTTGTCGGCTGAACCAGAGGCAAACGTGTATCTGACGGAAAAGGAAGAAAAGTTAGTGATGTTTCTTTGGTGCTTGACATTTACTGTATTTATAATCAAGAATCTTTCTAATCTAAATTCATTGTCTATTACTCTGCTGTTTCCACAACTTAGTGTAGATTAATATTTTTCAACACTTATTTGATAAAATATTTACATCTAAATGTAGCTGTGAAACATAAAAAACAACAAAATGTTGCTTAATATGTCCAGACTTGGTCATCTTCCCCACTCACGACACGGATTAAAAACAGACCCTGTGACTTTAAAAGATCATAGTCATGTGACTGTTGCTTGTGTTAACTCACTGCCTGGGATGCAGCACCACAGATCGGACAGACTTCTTGTGGTTGGTCAGAGTAGCTCTGGTCTTTCCGGCAATCAAATCCCACAGCCTGATTGTTGAATCGTGGCTGCCTGCAAACAATTCATTCATGAATTTAGACAAAGCAAATACAGAAGATAACATCAAAAAAAGATTACACTGAAACCTAAAGTTGAGTTCCTCAATTTGGTGTTCTAAAACTTGTCCCTACCAGTGATGATCTGTGGCTCAGATTCCTGACATTTTACTGTAGCCACTGTGTTGGTGTGGCCAGTCAGTGTGTGCACATTGGCCTTGGTCCTGATGTCCCACACCTGTGTGCACAGAAGTCCTTTTGGTCAGACTAATTCAACCTGGTGCAGTGGAGCACGGCTCTTTACAAATATGTCAGAGTGTATAGCAGAGCACAAGTTTGCAGGTAAAGACTAGTGAACTGTTTGTACTCCACCCCATTGCAGTAGAGCTGTAGAGCTTACCCTTGCTGAGGCGTCCCTGCTGCACGTCACCAACACATCAATTGTGGGATGTAAATCTAAGTCGTACACAGCGCTCAGGTGTCCGTGGTAGTGCCTGATGACCTAAAAGAGTCAAATCGCTTCTTTAAGATCTTGAATGCCAAAAAAAACACAGGGTGAACAATTCTAACGCAAGAACGGTCTCATGATGATCAGGTGATCATCTCGCCTACAGTGTCCTGCTGTCCGTCACATACGAACCTTGTTGTACTCCAGATCCCAGCACTTGACCTGCTTGTCTTCACCACAGGAGAACAGATATGGGCTGCGGTTGCTGACGGCTACACCACGTACTGTGCTGATGTGTCCGGTCAGAGACAGTTTAAGTTTTCCACTAGCTAGGTCCCAGATCTGTCGATGACAAATTGGAAAATCAATCATCGTTTTCAGGGACTTCCTCTTCAATTGCATTACTACTTGGTCGTAATGTATCCTGTAATTGGATGCCTTAAACTCAAGCTGCGGATCTATATTTGTGACAGTGAAGATCTGTTGGTTCTGGACCAGACATCTTCTTCATCTTTACTTACCTTTATGGTTCTGTCAGCAGAACCAGTAACAAACCACTGGTTTCCTGGTTCTACAGCGATGGACCTGACCCAACCAAGGTGACCACTGATAACCTGTTAGAAAAAAAAATCTTATTTTACATTGAAATAGCTACTCAATGCAGTTTGATTATAAGGTGGAGAAAATTACCCGAAACAGTTTCCAGGGTGGATGCCACTGAGGTTTGGGCATTGTTGGTGCTTTCCTCATCAAAGCAGAATTTCGGGTTGCTCCTCCTTCCAACAGTGACTAAAGAAGGTTGGCAGTTTTTACAGCAAGTATAAACAAAACAATATCAGTCAACAGAATATTGAGATTCACAACAAACAAATGTACCATGGCAGTGGAGTGTGCTGCTCCAGCGTGTCGACGAATGTCTGCAACACTGGCTGCTGTGCGATTTGCATCAATCCTGAAATTCAGCACAAAAACCAAAATCAAGAACTGAAAATATTATTATTATTAATACTTATTAAGATTTAAACAGTTTGTAATGGTTTGTTATTAATACTTAAGATTTAAACAGTTTGTAATGGTTTACCTGACTTGTGAAGGCGGCAAAGCTAATGCCATTGAGTGGATTCCTGCTTCACTGGGATTCCTATGCACTGTTGTGTCAGCAGTTAAAGCAACGCCTGTTGAATGAGAGGCTGGTTATTTAAAAGCAAGTGCAGGTGAGTTTGGTATGGTTTGAAAAGATTCTGCATTATGTATAAAAACAGCTAAGACTCACCAGGTGCAGATGGATAGGCGTGTGTTCCAGTAATCAGGTATTCTGGGTTATCTGCAAGACAGATAAGGTTAAAACATTTGTTGTTTAACACGTTATCTGAGTAAATCTACCAAAATAGCAACACCAGCTACAACAAATGGAGATTGTTCTCTCTCATAAAATTCAAGTTTGTGCAAAACTACCTGCCATCTAGTAAACATTCCCTCTTAATGTGTTGTCATATGATGACAACTGGTTAATGTGATCACAACGAAGATTGTTTGCTGACTTTATGTTCTCCTCACCTGGCTGCGGGTAGCTCTGGGAGATGTGGATGCTGCCTGGAACTCTGTCTTTGCATTCCTTTAAAACAGGCATGTGTAAAACTGCCTCGTAGTCTGACTTCAGCTTTACACCCAATTTCACCTTGTGGCTAGAAACACGGGAGACAGACAGTGAATAACGTACCATGCTGCTGCCAATATGCCAACCACAGACTCTTCGAATGCTTTTCAAAAAATAAAATAAAAATCATTATTACCACGATGGTTTGGAGATAGTTGCGACACAGGTTCGAAAGCGAATGTAAAAGTAAAACATTTTGAATGTTTTTCAAAAGCGGGCAATATGTGGTTGCTAATTTACCTTTCATCGTCAATTGCGATTTGTTTGGCTTGATCAGACACAAACATATCATGAGTTCTCTTAAGAGATCTGAAGACCAGCGTGTGGACCGAATGTTTCTGTACATCCTGTAGAAGAAAAATAAAAACGAAACAAAAAGACCATAACACATTACGTAGATCATCGTTTTTTAAATACAAACTGACAACAAGGGAACATCATGTTAAGGCTACAGTGATTAGCCGTAGCTCCGGACGTATGTTTTATGTTAAGCTATTGGCAGAAAGCTGTATAAGATGTGAAGCACAGACTTACCTCAGTCATTATTCTTCAAATCTGCCTGTTCGAAAACACAACTAAAAGAAAAAAAAATGTTAGTATCGCCCACGTTTACTCGATTTTGTCGCCCAACTTTAAAACATGAGTTCCACCGCCACAAAGACCCTGAAAATAGCCCGGAAGTAAACAACAGAGCAGAGCCAGCTGTAGGTTCTGTAAAGCCACCTACCGGCAGGGAGGACACATTACATTGGTGTTTTTCGAAAAGCTGAAAATGTTGGAACCATTCCCAAAGTTTGCCTTTCTCCTTTTGTGTAACAAACCAGGTTGATGTGCCAAAGTGCACATAGAGTTTCACAATCCTTTGGCGCTAACGTTGTTTTAAGAGGAACATGTGTGGGTGTCATGGTGTGGTAAAACGACCCTGGGGCCTGGTCATTTTTGGAAAAGGTTTTTAGTGGGGAGAATTATTATGAAATGGCAAACAAATAATGACCAGTTTTCTACTAGCTGAAGCCAGATGTTATAATTTAATCCACCAATGATTATTATTTTTTATCCATTCTTTTTTCTTCAAAATAGATAAGGCTACATGGTATCAGAACCATGTAGCAATGATTAACATAAAAAACAAACAAAAAAAACGGTGTCAGATCGTACAGAATAAAAATGACATAGAACAACATGTATTCTCAAAATTTGACCTGGGGTAAACCAGGTTCAGAGATATGTAGATCTGTGGTCAACACTAACCAATGTTGGTACAATTAATTAGTTTAATCATCCTCACCTGTGTCCTGTGGTTCTCTTAATCAGTCTGACTCGTCTCACCTGGTGACCTGGGTATATATACCTTTATCCCAAACTCTTTGTCATTGTGCATCTTTGTGTTGATTGTGGTTTCTCAAGGTCTGTGTGTCAGTTCTGCTTCTGACTGGCTGGCATTTTCTTGAGTTTAGACTCAGCCCTGGATGTTAATGGTTTTCCAGTTTGGACTTTGTTCATAAACTTTCTGCACCTGATCTCTAACCTTGAGTGCAGCCTTTGACTTCTGCCTGCACCTTTTCACGTATCACTTCTTATAACAGTGTATATTTTAGTATTATGCAACATTAAAAAGTGCTCTGCTCTCACTTTCAGCTGCGTTTCAGTTTTCAGGAAATTTAGGTTACAAGAACCCATGGTGATTTCAAGTGAAGTAATAACAAAACACATATGGTAAGGAACAGATTTTACATTTATTTGATGAAACAACACTGAAGGTGAAAAGAAAAATCGTCAGTGTGCAGCTGTAGATCACAACAGCCCACAGAAATGACCTGGAGAAACACTGAACGATTCCTTGAGGGTCGACGTTTTAAAGGTTTCAGACATTTTGTTTTGTTAATGCGTAAAGCATTAAGTATTGACCACAAACGCTTACATGCAGCACGTGGTACGAGTTCACGTTTAAAGTCCTCCAAACTGTTTCACACCGGTCTGCTGCCCACCACCTGCTGTGATTCGACTCAGAGGAATGATCTTCATGGTGGTTTCCTTCAGAGAGTACCAGCGGTCGTGCCATGTGACCCAGATGATGCCGTTGTCATAGCCGTGCTCGCCTGCATCCTTTTTAGTGTACCTACCACCTGGAGGAGAAAAGGCCAGCCACTTTAAATCAAACTTTTTTAAGATTAAACAGGGTTTTTTTTCTTTTTGGCCACGTGATCTTACCCGGGTAGTATTTTCCATTTAAATGTGCAGCATGGCATCTGTTCATCCACCAGCCGGAGCCATCCTGCTGAGCGCAATTGCCATCAAATTTGTCGTTGTCACTGTCAAAGGTACTGAACTGTATGCCGTTGTGTGAGGTGAAAAATTTGTCACTGGGGTCATCTCCAAAGTCGAAGCCAGCAAAAGCATCGCCGGCGTCACCGCCAAAAAGGTAGGCGTAAGTCAGACGGTACTTGTCATCCTCGTTTCCCAGTCTAAACATGTTATAGTCTGCGTACCTGGGTACAAAAGAGAGTGTACAAAACTTATATTTTTCACTCAGTAATTATTTGGATTAAGTTCTTGGGCTTTAATGTTTGTGTGCACCATGTCTGGGGTCATGTTTCCTCTGTGCGGCTGAGTTTGTGCTCAACTCTTACATAAACTGTTAAGTATCTCCTTGTGTGTGCGTGTGTGTGTGTGTGTGTGTGTGTGTGTGTGTGTGTGTGTGCGCGCGCACTTCTTGTTGCCGTCCCAGTCCATCAGCTCTATCCTCAGCACAGTTGGGATGGTGCTAACGTCCGTCAGCTGATGGATCTTCTCGTTGCCCAACCAGAACTCGGTGGTGTCGTCTGGGGACAGATAACCAAAGCCGTTCTTGTACTGGATCCAGTTCTTGTTAAAGTCCACGCTGCCATCCCGTCTCTGTGGAATAAAGAACGCGATTGATCCACAATATTTTAGGTACAATATTAAGGTCATAGATCAATTTGTCTCTTGCACTTAGCTGCAAAAATGTAGGTGTGAAATTAACAAACTACCCTAGAAAATGGGATAAAAATAATAAATGTTATTTGGACTTTTTGAACATGGATATCCATAAGTGAATGTATTGTAGTAAAGCCTATAATTTTTCCATGTAGTTCAATGCACTAGTGGCCGAACATTGTTGGATTTTTATCATCACTATTAAAAAGAAATGCAGAAAAATCGACAGTTCATAAAACCAACAAGGGGTTTTATTTTGAAAAGTCCTATAAAAGTGTATGTGTTTGGGTTTTTAATGATCAGCACCTAAACATCATGTATGAAAAAGGTCACTTGTTGGTTGTGAGTGTGTCATACCCTCTGTATTACTGTGAATCCTCGTCCAAAGCTATCAATCTCACAATAGACCAGGAACTGCTCAGTGGCTTTGGCTGGTTTCACATAGTAGAGCCCACTAGTGGTTCCACCTTTGTTTGCAATGTCCTGACAATCTGATAAAAAAACAAAGAAAAGCAAAGCATCGTTTCCATTAAATCTTCTGATGTTACCGTAGATAACTACCATCACATTTACTGTGGAGTTCTGAGAGCCTGCAAGTTTGAACTGAGGTCAGAACAGATGTGTTTACCCTGCACGGTATTGATCACAGCGTCTAATCAAACAGTGAACGAGGACAAATGTTCAGATGACAGACGATTGCGAAACTGATTGTGAAATGGCAACGTCCTGAGGGTCACTGTTATTTGTTTATATTTTAGGTTTTTTTCTTACCTGTTCCTGTGATGGGCTGGATTTCAACAGTGTCTTTACAGGGTTCATTGCATTTCTGCTGCAGCTGAAGGGACAGCTGCTTCAGGTCTGCCATCCGCCTCTCGTTAGACGAAATAATATTCCCGAGTTCACTGAGAAGATGAACGTAGATTTTATAGTTTTATTTACTTTTCCAATATGACATGGTGGAAAATGTTTTATTGTAATATGTGATAATAACACATGGAAATACAAAATCTGTTGCTAGACAAAAGTTAAGAAGACATCAAACATTTGCATCGAAACATTTTATATTAAAAACAAATATTTACTCCCTGTGTCAGAATACTTTTCATTGTTTTGGAATGTCTTAGCATATTACTGAAGAACAGTAGCATAAATACATTTTACTTATTATAGTAGCAATAGAACTGTTTGCCTCATTATCTTATATTATTATAAATTATAAATGATCTTTTTCAGCTGATTTATATTTTTTACTTGAATTTATTAAATTGATAATAAATCATTGCCTGTTTGCACAGGCAATAAAGTTGACTTGGTTTGAAAATATTAGCAAAGACAATACAATCTAATTATTTGGATGTTTTTTTATTTTATTTATATAAGTCTGTAAGTTTGTTTGGGATCTAGAAGAGGTGTTTATTCAGACCAAACAGTGTGGGGGCTGGTTGGTGAGCATCGACCTGAGTGGGTTGTTGTCACAAGTATTGCATCAAGTTTGCTGTGTAATTTGGTTGAGCCCTGAGCTACGATCATCTTCACATGTTAACATGTGCTTAACAAGCCAGCGTTTTCCAATCCAAAGATAGAAGTTGTTATTTCATATACTTTAGAGCTGCATAAAGTAATTTTAAATTAAATACTAAGACAATTCAAACAACACAGGTTCTTATGTTAGTGTTTGACTCTAAACGTGCAAAATATGAAATTTCTAAAAAAAAAAAGTCTAACCGACAGAAAATGTCACCATCCTTCTGCAGTACCTCTATGAACCCCCAGAGGTCGCAGACCCAAAGACCTGTACTTAAAAATGTGTGCCTTTGCTAATGGTGTACATTATAATCATTTATAATGTGGAAGTTAGTGTGGTAAAGTTTTAAATACATATCCTAACGCAACATCTGTGTCATAGAATACTGTTTCGTGTGAAACTTACAACATCTGCTCCTCCTGTGCAATGATCGTCTTCTCGAAGCGAACAACATCATCCAGCATACTTGCTGACTTTTTAAAATACAAGTCTAGAAAAAAAAAAAGATTATTGACTTTTCAGGACTGTAATTAGAATAATACTTAAGTCACAGTTCTTTTCCTAACAAGCATTCAAACAGTGGACAGAGTGGGGTGGATCAGTTCAACATGACACCTGGTGAGGCGCTCTTTTGGGCTGATGTTGTTGAATCCTTCATGTAGACAATTGTTTCATCTGCCCCCTCAGTCAAATTGGCAATGGTCTCCAGCTCATTTCCAAAATGATTCAGGTCCCCGGTCACTTCGTCCATATATTTGAACAGATAGTCGGCCACTCCACACGTGGTAGGACAGTATTTGCCCTGTGTGCAGACAGTATAGCTTCTTCCATGATGAACATTCACACGCTAAAACAACAATAATTTACTTACAAATCCATCGTTTCGCTGGCATGTACCAATGCTGTCTCCTCTGAGTTGCTGTACAAACAAAAGACATTTTACATGTCTGAGGTGGCGGAGAGTGCAGTGGCGGGGATATAGTCGATATAGAGACTTACTGCATTTGACAGGGTGAACAGTAAGAGGAGTCCTCCTGCCGTAGAAACAAGTGATGGCACCATGTTTGCTGCAGCCACCAGGTGTGCTGTCTTCTCGGGGAATGAGCAGCGTACTGAGTGTGTGAGATATTTATCTGCCCATGGTCGACAGTGCAGGGTTTGATAAGGCGGTCATATGTAAACATATCCCTGTCCCCGTGCAGAGACAAAACCATGACTCAGATGTCCAACTGCGCACACACATGCTGGATATTAGTAAATCAGCTGAGTAATCAGCTAACTGGAACATTCAACAAGAAGAATTTACTTAATATACTGTTTTGCTAACACGTCAACATCAGACAAACAATAATCTATCGAGTTTTACCCATTTCATGTATGTGTGACAGATTATTACAGAAGTCAAACCAGACAAAATTCATTTGAACAACAAATGTCAAAAAGTACCAAATACTTTAAGTATATCCTCGACAAAATGGTCTCACAACATGACACAGACAACTTGATTGCATACCAATGACGACGACAACAAAATAGAGTACTAAGAAAAGCTGACGGATAATGAATAGAGTGAAACTGATGTTTCTTCACTAATGAAATTAACATCATTTTTTGGGGGGAGGGGGTAAATGTAAACTATCAATGAACGAGGATGTGAAACAAGCGTTTTGTTATTTTGATTTAAAATAAACAGTCATTTGTTTCTTCACAACAAGCGTTTTATTATTTTGATTTAAAATAAACAGTCATTTATTGTAGCTACTGTCAAAATATGTTCTGTCAGAGTTAATGATTTTTATTTAAACGTTGTTTTAGGAGTTTATATAAACAAAATCCGTTACATTGGTTGATTGTTGTGTCATTACCATTGCATTACATGCAATCAAGTAATAAAATGTATGTTATACTCAATAATTTCTTCATCTTTATTGTTCTTACTAAAAATACGGTTACTAATATTCCCTTTTTTCCCCTTTTTTTAGATTTAGATTAGAATAGAACAGAAAACCAACCCAATTAGACGCAGACTAAGTTGAACAGCCTTTAACTGCTAGTCTTTGTGGCACATTTATGCTACATAGTAACTAAACTACAAAGTCTAACTTTTATTCGTTGTGCCGCCAGAGGGCGCATGTGTAGTATATGGTTTAGGCTGGACCAAATAACAGATATCTCACTCCTTGCTATTTTTAGTTCCGAGTACGACACCATACTTACACAAACCTGGATAAGAATAGAAAATATATATTGATAACAATTATTATTAAAACCTGAACATACATTTTAAATTTAATTGTTTTAATATATTTTGTCTCTCTAATCAATGCACAACATGGCGGCTGAAGCACGGGGCAGTGATTTGGCGTGTCCCGTCCAGCTTAAAACATCTTTGTTCACATAACGATCTTTGTTCGCCGTCAGTTCGGGCGCGTGAGGGGCGTGTCAAAGACGGAGGCAGACTCTCAAGCTGACGTTGACTGTCACGGCGATGTCAAGTTTGTGTGACGGCGACATAGCAGTGGAACTCTGTGACTAACAAAGTGTAGCAGAGAACCACAGAACACGGATTCACCAGAGAAACCCAAAGGTCTGGGGCCTGTGTTGTTGGCATCGTCTGCGTCTGCTCTGAACCAGCTAGTCATGTCAACGTAGCTTCCTGCAGATGCTGCGGGCCAAGGAGAACTGGCCGACAATCCTCCAACCTCCAGACCCGATTCTAAATGGTTTTCACCAACCAGTTAGCTGAGTTGTTTCTTGACACGAGAGAAGATGCGCAAGGACGTGAGGATTTTATTAGTGGGGGAGCGTAAGTGAAGCTGCTAAGCATTTATCACAGTGATGCACCGACGTTACACACGTGAATCACAGTCACGTGTCTCATGATATTTAAAAAAAATAAAGATGATAATGGTGATGCGTCGACATACTCCATTAATGTCGTTGTATTTCTGACGAAAATAATAAAAAAAAGAGTTTGTTTTACTACAAAATGTATAAACTAAGTTTATACAACGACATTACGTATGACGTTCGTCAAATAGTCCTTCTAAAATACTTAATATTTTAGTAGAGAACAATATCATTGCAGTAATCAGATTAATATTATCATTGATATTAATAATTCGTGATGTTGTACCTTCATCACAGCCAAGGTGGGAAAGACTTCTCTCATCATGTCTCTGGTCAGCGAAGAGTTTCCAGAAGTGGTAAGAATTTTAAAATGAATAACATAAATGTTCAGCCTGTATAAGACTAAAATATTAAAGTTGATAATAATATAATATAATCATTAAATGTAATAAAATTTAAATGTATATTATCGTTATTATTAATAATAGTAATATCAATAATAATGAAATGTAATACAATTTAAATTTGAATTATTATCATTAATATAGGTTCCCTACAGAGCTGAGGAAATCACCATACCTGCAGACGTTACACCAGAGAGAGTTCCCACTCACATCGTGGATTATTCAGGTATTTGGCAACATCACTGTTTCATTTGTGTCATCTCTTTTCGTTGGTTACTTTGGTCCGTCATTAAAGCTCAGCTATCTTTCATGGACAGAGGCAGAGCAGACAGATGAGCAGCTGTTTCAGGAGATTTCTAAGGTCAGTTGTTGCACAAAGCATGTCTACAATAAAGAGACATTGTATGAATTTAGTTCAAGTCACTGAGTCTGTGCCGTTCTGACTCGTAGGCCAACGTGATTTGTATCGTTTATTCTGTCAACAACAAGAAGTCCATAGAAAAGGTGAGATTCCTGTACTTCCAGCATTACGATCATTTGCTTAAAGGGTTGCGTAAAAGAATGAATGTTTACATAAGAAAATATGTCAGTGATAATATTGAAGTTGTTTCAAACCGTCTGTGTTTTTGGGGTCAGGTGACCAGCCACTGGATTCCCCTCATTATTGACAATACGGACAAAGACAGCAGGTGAGTGCCTGAAAGAATTTTTCTTAATGTGTGCTTGTATATGCTTGGATTTCCATGTGCCAGAAAACATTTTCTTCAGTTTTACTTCTAGTGCTTAAAAAAATAACAGGAATTCACAATTCACAATCTTTGACAGTTTGACTGGTTAGCTTGTAGCAGTTTATCAGACATATATATGTATATATTTATTTTTTAAATGTATTTTTTTAATTTATTATTATTATTATTTCTTACATTGAACAAATATGTTTTTCCAGAGTATTATTATTATTATTTTTTACATTGAACAAATATGTTTTTCCAGAGTCCCTTTGATCCTGGTGGGGAATAAGTCAGACCTGGTGGAGCACAGCAGCATGGAGACTATATTACCCATAATGAATCAGTACTGTGAGATAGAGACATGTGTTGAGGTGAGAGCATTTTGATGACACTCAGTTTGATTCAATGTCTTCCCCTAAAATAATCACTAAATCATATTGTTTACATGACTTTAGTGGAACATGTGTGCAAAAAAAGAAGACGTGTGTGAAATATTCAGTACTCATTATGTGGGAACTCTATGACTGCCTGGAAGCCTGGAAGCTCCACCCTGTCTGCTCTTCAACACTAAAGAACATCTTCTAACGTGGATTCAGTCGTGCTGCTTAATTAGAGGAGACGTTAAGCTCAGACCGACCTGCTGTGTTTGTTTTTCATCTGACCCTGACTTCTCTCTCTCACAACCACAACAGCAGGTCCTCCTTGGTAGAGATGTATTAAATGGAAATAAAATGTAAACTTTTGGTTATTTGACAGTATCTGTCAGTAACTGTTCGTTCAGTCGACAATCCTGCCATGCCACACATTTTTTCATGAAGCACAACTGTAACACTTTTATCCCCATTTGACCCAACTCTTTCTTTCCGTCTTTTCCTGCTGTCTGTAGTGTTCAGCCAAAAACCTAAAGAACATCTCGGAGCTGTTCTACTACGCCCAAAAGGCTGTTCTTCACCCGACTGGCCCCCTCTACTGCCCGGAGAAAAAAGATGTGAGTCCAAAAATAAACACTGCATAGTCAGCAACACTCTCCTGTGTGGTAGAGTGATTTTGAATTCACCTTTGATAGAAATATATTGTGTTGTCAGTGGCTCCAGCACAGCAGGAGGAGCGCCACCTACTGTAAAGTATGTTTTGTGTTCAGTTCGGGTAATTCTGTAGTTCGTTTATTCAATAGTAGTTATTTTGGTAATTTAAAAAAAATCACTTCTGTCATGGGGAGTTTCACCTGTTACACCACTGACCAACAGCAGCTGCTCATCGTTGTTCTTTTTATGTTATTTTCTATTCCACTGTTATTGAATAATGTTTGGTTTGAGTGCCACCTACAGGCCACATTCATAAGACTTGAATTTAGTCAGTGATTCCCAAAAGAACAGAAGTATCTTCCTAACAGAGCTGCCCTCTGGTGGCTGTCTCCTGCTCTGCATTCATTTAGGCTTTAAAAACCAGATCGCTCTGTCAATTTTCTCTACATGGCACATCTGGTAAAAACTTTCACTTTTCACTTTTATTTCCAGATTAAGCCGCTGTGTGTCAAAGCTCTGACTCGAATCTTCAAGGTGTCAGACTTGGACAATGATGGGATATTAAATGACAATGAGCTCAACCTCTTCCAGGTAACATGGTTGTGAAGTCAGAAGTCAGAAAACAAGCTCACGATTTTGTTGCTGTAAATCATCAGTATTTGATATTTAACATTTATCTCCGTCATCACCATCAGCGGATATGCTTCAACACTCCACTGGAGCCTCAGGCGCTAGAGGATGTAAAAAATGTAGTGAAGAAGAATTTAGGTGACGGAGTTAGTGATAATGGACTAACTCTGAAAGGTAGGATCAACTTCATAGACATTTTGTTCACTGCAATGAACTCAGTCGTGTTTAGATTTTTTTCCCTTCCTTTTCGTTTCTTCAATGAAGGATTTCTTTTCCTTCACACGCTGTTTATTCAGCGAGGCCGTCATGAAACGACCTGGACAGTGTTGAGGACGTTTGGGTATGATGATGACCTGGAGCTCAATCAGGACTTCCTCTTCCCAACGTGAGTCCTGATCCTTTTGCACTCGTTTCTCAAACATTATCTCAACTAAATGGTCTGTTTAATACTTGTGAAACAAATGCAGATGTGAGACCCTTTACCCTTTAATTGCACTGTTCAATAATGTTGATTCTGGTTGAGCTAGCTTATCTGGTAGCTAGCTAGCTTATGTTGACCATTTCATAATGTTGATTCTGGTTGAGTCATTTTTTTATTTTAAAGTAGCTAGCTAGCTTATGTTGACCATTTTATTAATAGTTTTCTCCCAATATTTCAAAATTTCGATATTGTCCATCTCTAGATTAAAGATCCCTCCAGGGTGCACCACAGAGCTGAACCACAATGCCTACCTCTTCCTTCAGAGCGTCTTTGACAAACATGATAAGGTGAATTTAGCTTGCAATAATAATAATAAATATTTTTATTTTT